ATAGGCTCCACCATCCAATCTACTTTATGAACTGAAGAGGAGCTACCTTCGTATGATATATATTTATTTATTATCTTCCACAGCTAATTGAATTGTAAATATTGACTTGCATTTCTGCTTCTTTTAACCATTAACTATTGCATTGAGTGTTTCTCTTTACACAATGAAATTATCTCCTTATTAATTTTTTCCTGTTATATGTCCTCATATTTCAAATATATCCTCATCCATTAACCTTTCAAATTCTATTTACATTCCATTTTTCAAACCCTAACTTCATACTCACTCCAACCATTACCTCCAATTAGTGCAACCATTATTTATAACCAAACCCCCCACCCTCAATTCTCTCTTACTCCAACAACTACCACATTTCAACTCCCCAACCCCTACAACCCCCTATACCCCATCGACTACCACTCCACAACACACAACCCATTTCCTCCCTAGTGACCACCATGCCACAACCTTCAACTCTTTGCCCCTCGTAGCCATCACCCACCCAAGCAACCACCACCATGCAGCTCCTTCTACCCCTGCAATCCTTCCTCACCCTAGTGACCACCACCCTCATAACTCCAACCTCTGCAACTCCCGCGTTCCCTCTCCTTTCCTCCATTTTTTCTTCAACCTTTATGACCCTTCATCTTTACAACCTCTACTTTAAGGTTTTAAGAGAGAGAGAGAGAGAGAGAGAGAGAGAGAGAGAGAGAGGTTTGTTTTTGTGTGTAAATAAAGGCACTGTATGACCTTATACTGAATGACTTCCCTCCATACTACTATCGTCCATACTCTATTTTGTTTGCCCATCATGGGCTTACAACAATAATCTAAACCATTTATCTTGTTAGCTTAGTAGTAAAAATGAGTTAAGCAAAAACTCAATTTTATCAGATATCAGTAAAGACATATACACAATTTATATTTTCTTTTTAAAATAGATGACAACTGTGAATTTAAACATAAATCTTATATTTTATAAATAAAATACAATTTGTTTATCTATTCATTGCTAGCTGTTGAAATTGATTTTTTGCACAAATGATTTTTATTACGAAATTTATACGATGAATGGTTTAGATCATTATCGTAAACTTAAATTGAGACCTGCAAAATAAAGTATGAAGAAGTACACAAGATAGTGACACGGAGAGTAGAGAAGGAACTATTGAGGGATCGGGGGTGACCCTTTCCCAAGTTTTTGAGAATTAGAATAATATCCCTAAATTTTATGTATATTTATAAAACATGTAATGAAATGATACCATAATTTTATAAAAATTACTTATTAATTTTTTATTTCATTAGGGTTTTACAATCTATAAAGAAATGATCTCCAATTATATTATAATTAATAGTATCAATTTTATCGAGTCGATTTTATTTGTACAAGATATACATTTGAATTCTTTTTAGAATAAATTATACTGATCTCTCATCAAGTTTGAAAAAAAATAACAAATTTTACAAAATTGACTTAATTATATTAGACTCTCCTAAGATTTTAATTCACATAACATTGAGCATATTTTTTATTAATAATTTATTCAGCAAATAGATTAAAAAATATATATATATTGTCATATCTTTTATATTACACCGTCAACTTTTACATCTTGTGACTATCAAATTATTATCACAGCACTCATGTAACAAATTGTCTTTAATTAGTCATTTATCATTTTAAAAAAATAAAATTGCACATACCTCCGTACCCCTAACCAAGATTTCTGGTTCCACCCTTGACCGATAGGAGCTATTCCCCACTTTATCTTTGAAAAAAGAGAAAGTAGTGTAAAAACATGAGATTGAAAAATTCCATCATTATGCAAGAGCACCCAAGTCAGCAGCTACTTAGTAAAGGTTTGGTGTTTACAACAATGTTACAGACCACTAAATTTCTACCACTAACACCACCATTAATGATGTGGCAAGTTAAAAAAAAAAACAAAAACAAAAACTAAGACATAAAACACTTGTGGCATCCCTAGTGCAACCACTAATTAGTGGTCTGCATCATTTTTCTTGTTGTTATCACAATATTTAATGTGGGTTCGATACTCTTTCGTTGAACGAGTCCTGACTTAAGTTGAACTTGTCTTGGGAGATAGAGCCAAGTTCTTAGGTTATAGTCTCTTACTCAGAACAGATAATAGGATACCTTGGTGATCTCTACGAGGGGAACTGCCTTGGACCTACGGGAGGGTAGGAGGATTTTCTCTCTTGGACCTCAAGTTGGGTAGGGAGGATTTTCCTATAACAAAAAATCAGCACTTGGTGTGGGTTCAATGCGCTCCCGCTGCCTTAGACCTACGGGAGGGTATGGAGGAATTCTCTCTTGGACCTCAAGTTGGGTAGGGAGGATTTTCCTATAACAAAAAATCAGCACTTGGTGTGGGTTTAATACTCCCTCGCTGTGTGAGTCTTGACTTAAGGTCGAGGCAAGTTCCCAAGCTTCATCGCACTTGATGTGGGTTCAATACTCTCCCGCTGTGCGAGTCTTGACTTAAGCGGAGGTTGCCGAGCCTATAACAGTCGACATGTTGTTTGAATAATAACAGGAAAATAGAAAAAGCCATCGCAAATTGCTTTTGATGGGAATTGGCTCTTATTTTTTTGAATTTTTTTTTTCCTGAACCCATTTAGGTTTTGATTGGACAAATTAGAAAAATAAAAAATAAAAAATAAAATATATTAAAAATAAAAAAAATTAATAATAGTTTATTTTTTAGTTTTTTTCATTTTTTTTTTACTTTTTAAAATTTTCTACATTACATGAATCTGAAAAATAAAATATTTTTTTATCATAATTTATTTTAAAAAAATTAAAAATACAAAATACAAATATAACTTTTTAAACCAGATGTCAAACCATACCACTATCTATGGGAGGCTGAATCTAGGAACGTAGGACTTGGTGAATGTGCACTTACAAAAACATCATTGAGGGGAAAAAAAAAACCATTGTTGGACCATAAATTAACATTTAGAGAGGTACAACACATTTGACAAAAAGTTGGAAGTTGATTGTCCTATCTTTAGCCAGTTGGGATCTCTCCATGTGGGTTGTGGTCACATAAGTTTGACATGGACCACCATAAAATGCAAATGAGTATGTCCCAACAAGCGGCAGAGTCAATATTTTACTTGAGGGAAAATAAGATAATATTAAAATAAATTATAAAAAAAATTAATTATCATTATTTCGAAACTATTCTTATATCATTTGTATCATAATAATAAACTATCGTGACATTTAAATGAAGAGAAATTACAAACAATTAGAGTACAAAAGTCAGAACAAAAAAATGCTAACAAAATATACATAATCAAAAGTGATGTTTTCTTAAATTTCTTTAAGAAGCAAACAACGAATCAATTTATACCCCATGTTCGATGTAATGGTCGGTTCAATTGGCTGAAAGAAGAATGAGATTTTTTTTTCTTTTTCTTTTCAGTGATACTACAATATCCAAAATTATCATATTGTAATTTAGATTTATTTTATATATGAATTTCATACTATATAAATTTAATCTCAACCACTCAACTCTCATTCGGGATAAATTTAGAATACTTAAGTGGGGTTCATAAAATTTTTCTGTTTTATTCTATTAATGTAATAATTCAAATCAATCAATTTACTGATTAACAAAATCTTGATAACGTTAATCTCTCAAATTAATCCATGGATGACAAAGAAGTCATATTTCAATTGAGCAAATAGACAAAAATAAAACTAAAAATAAAACTTGATTATAATGCGATTAAAAATATTTATATAAAGAAATTTTATAGCAAAATAAAAATTTAATCATTAAATTATAAGAAGTTTTGATGAAAAAGATTTTTTTTTTTTAATTTTTAAATGTGGATAACTAACAAATTTACGGGCATACATAATTTTTTTTTTTTTTTTTTGGGGGAGGGGGGCGAGGAGAAATCCACGGTTTAACCGTAATAACAAATTACACCTTTAAATTTTAATTATGTCCATTTAAATTTTAAGTTTTTAACTTTACCACAATTCTAAACATTTGTGCATTTTTGTGTGGAGTAACAATTTTTTATTTTATTTTTGCAACACGTGCCATTTTCTTATTTGTTATTTTAAATTAATATAAAATAAAAAAATTATTTTTACCACGAACCCTATTACATAGAATGAACTCTCATTCCCCAATATTACCCTCCCCCAACCACCACCTTTCTCCCACCAACCGCCCTCCTAGAATCACGTTATCTGCTCCGATAGTGCCACCATTCCCCACTATGTCTTATTCTCCCAATGGTGTCACTTTCCTACACCGCTCCACCATCCCCAAGTGGCACCCCCTTCCCTGAATGAGCCCTACCTTAGCACTGCCCCCTTGTTCTCTAACGGCATCTCCTTGTAAAATAAAATAAAATTGAAAAAAAAAAAAAATCACTACAACAAAATGCACTTTTGGCTACTAAATTTGGCGACTAAAAAAAATTTAGTCGCCAAAAGTTGTGGAATTGGTGACCAAAATTTTTTTTAATCAGCAAAAGTACAATATTTAGCTACTAATTTTTTTAGTCAGGGCATATTGATTATTGGCGACTAAAAGAAATTTAGTCGCCAAAAATGCCACAATTGGCTACTAAAAAATGTTTTAGTTGCTGTATGATTAATTTTGGCTACTAAAATTAGTTAGTTGCCGAATGAAAAACAAAAATTTATTTTTTATCTTTGGCGACCAAAAGTTTGGTCGCAAAAAGTGTGTTTTCAGCAACTAAAAACTGTTTTAGTCGCTGTATGATTAGTTTTGGCTACTAAAATTATTTAGTCTTCGAATGTAAAATAAAAATTTAATTTTTATCTTTGGCGACCAAACTTTTGGTCGCCAAAAGTGTGTTTTCAGCGACTAAAAAATGTTTTAGTTGCCAAAAAACTAAAATATTTGGAGGAAGAAATTTTGGAGGGATTTATAAAATTAATTTGCGACTAAAAACATTTTGGTCGCTAATTGTGTAAAATGATATATATTTTCAGGGCCTCTCTCTATCTCTCTCTTCTCCGCTTCTCTTCACCTATGGTGGATCTCTCTCATCACCCATAATCTTCTTCTTCAAGGTGTTGTAGTACAGAGAAAGAGATGGGTGTTATGTTCACCATCCATAATCTTCTTCAACATCAATTTACTGCCATAACAACTCTGCGACTGTTCACCATCATTGAAAAGGAAGATCAGCAAATAGCAAAAACCCAATGTAGCATCGACACCCACCATCGCTCTTCGTTACCGACGCTGAATTCCCCAAATCAGAGGTATTTTTCTTCAGTTCTTTGTACTCTGAATTCCCCAAATCATAGCCTTTTTGGACTTGTAATTCAGTAACGATTGAACTGTATTATTGTATACGTACATACATAGATTGATGAGATATATATCTATGATGGGTTCACCGTCAAAACGTACTGAGTCAAACTAGATACCGAGTAAACCCAATTTGGATCTGTGATTTTCATTAACTGGGTTATGACTTCCATTCGAAACTCAAACTTAAGTGACAATGGAGTTCCAAATAAGAGAAGAAAAAGTAGAAGAAGAAAAGAAAAAGCAAAGGGAGTGGTCTGATTTTTGTTCCATTGTGTTTGCTTGATGGCAAATTGTCTTTGCCTCTCTATGTTGGAGTTTCGTTTGTGCTGATACATGTGTGGTTTCCATGAATTTCTGCTTCTGCTCACCAACTGTTTGATGCAATGCCTAAATGAAAAATTCACCACAAAGTAATTACAACATGCTAGAATTTTTGGACAACCATCATTTTAATGATCTTGGGTGTTCAATTGTAGGCCATGAGGTAGATTTTTCTTGGATATCAATGGGCTAGGGTTTTGAGGGCTGAATATCTTTGTTCGGGGTTGTAAATAGAACTACAACAATAGTAACTCGCATGCTCTGTGATGTAGGATCATTTATTTTTATTACCAAATTGAGGTTTAATTTTAGGTTTGGCTTACAGATGATTAGGACAAGGATTTAGGATACAGCTTATGGTTTATAAGGGCTAAATAGTGAGTTTAACGTTTTAAAATCAAATCTGGCAAGCAGCTCTATAAATGCAATGACACTTTAAGAAAATAAGAAAGTGAAAGCAAAGGAGGAGAAGAAAACAAGTGAAGCATAGACAGTCGCACTTGGGGTATTAGGTACTTGCACATAAGAAAGATGCATCACACATCCACAAGTAGTTGGCAACATAATACTTATTCATTTAAATTGTTCAAAATAGGCCAACTATGTTCTCTCTACTACTACAACCAATCCAAAGGTAAAATAGTATAATCTTCAATGTTTATGTCCTGAATTTCATAAACTAATGTTGGCCATGTAACCTGCAAATCATTGGTCAGTGATTTCCTTAAATAAAATTTCTGTAACAATTGTCTAGTTGAAGAGAGTGTCCTAATTGATGAATTTTACTTTCAATGATCAATGTTAGTTTTTTATGTGTCCTTGATAAGGATAGCAAATATGGAGATCATTAAAATGCAGGGAAACAATATATGTGAGTATGGGGTCACAGTAGCTAAACAAAAAGTAGATTACAGCAAGTCATTCAAAAGCAAGGGGGAAAAAAAGAGTGTACTTTCCTCCAAATTAATCTGGGTATAGTTTCAACCGGTGAATGTAGAACTAGAAGGAGAGAGAGAGCGAGAGAGAGCAGTCTAAAAGATGAAATTGTGAATGGAAAAAACTAACATAGGATGGTAACTTAAATTCTAGAATTTGGGGAACAGATCAAGTCGTCAAAAAGAATGGTAACTTTATATAAGGTCATTATCATAGAAACATGATACATTTATGTCATTATACCCATGAATCTTCACAAGGACCAGAACCATTTATTTGGAAGTGCTAAGAAATTATTGGCCTATAGATCCAAAGTTAGTGTTGAATATATTTTTAATTTAACAGATTGAGTTCTCTATGAGTTTTGGCAGCATTTACAGATTTTAGAGTTAAGATCCAAGCTACTTCTAGGTTTTGATGTTGATCTTTGCAATGAAGAAAATATATGTTGAATATGTAGTGAATCATACTTCTCAACCTGTTGATGCCATCTTATAAAAGCATATGTAGCCAAGATGCAAAATCATTTGTTCTCTTACCATGGAGATACTTAAGTTGTGCCTTTAGTGATTGCCAACCACAGTAAAGTTGTGACCAAAATCCTACTATGAGATGCATTGTTGAGTTAATCTTTTGGATGTCAATGTTGCTTGTGTCAATATCATCGAGGCATCTTTATTAATTTTTTTTAGATACCAGTATTTAGAATTTCATTCACGGTCACAAGCAAGCAATAATTCTTAAATCACTTGCTGCTGATTTGTCTGATTCTTCTACTAAATATTTGGAGTCATGTATGTTGTTGGTCTTTCTAAGGGTGGGTCTTCTTGTTTCATTTCATCCCCCTCTTCCTTGTATATAAATATAAACTTATTGTTGTATTTATATTTATACCTTCCTAGAGAGACACTTATGCATAGTTAATTGCTTTAAAAATGATGGACTTCTTGGAATTGACACTTTAGCATTGTCAATGTAAGGTTATGGCATAAACAAGATCAATTGCTAGTTAAAGCCAAACAAAAACAAGAGGTATGTAGACAGTTGTTGTCAGTAGCTTTTGGTGCCACTGATTTACTTTGGCTGCATTTAGTATAAAATAAAGGATATTACTTCATTAATTTAATTACATTTGTCAAGTGAAAGGGTAAACAAGTTAGAAGAACATCATTTGTTGAAAACAGACCATCTAACTAACAATTACTGAAAATTAGTAGAGTAAGCTTATAAAAAAAAATCTTACCAGCAATTAATCTAAGCTAATGTGGTTCATGCAGGCATGTGGCAACAGAAATGTAAAACATAACACATGCTAGAGGGGCAAGTACGCATGGAATGTAGGAGCCATACATAGCTCCTTTGATATGAACTTATAGAATTCAATCAGAATATATTTCTATGTTATTAATATTTCTTTTCTTAATTTTAAGAGAAAAGATTAATTAGGTAACTCAATATAGAAGCTCAAGTTGGACTGAAAAACCTTTCTGAGTTAGAATCATTGTATAGTTAACAACTAAGCTTTGAACAAACTACAATTTTCAGTTGACAATAATGACAAAGATAATGCAGAAGACCCAAGAAACCTAGAATTTTGTAAGAGTTGAGTTTTAATGACTAGGCCTAACATTCCCTTTGCCAACATGCAGAACTGCTGATCTCTCCACTCATGTATCTGAACCTTGCAAGAAAAACATGTTTTTGCAAAGTTTATACAAAGAGGAACAGGAGAAATCATATATGACAAATGGTAACAACAACGGGAAGCATGCTTTTCATAGTGACATTCAAGATAAGGATATAGTTGAAGCTCTAGAAAATGAGGTTAAATATTGGACAGACTTTTCAAAAGTTCACTATCATCCCCAGAGTCTATACGAATATAATGGTTTTTGTATGATTCTCTATTTTGTATAGAATTGTTATTTTAGATTGGAATATATTTAGTTTGTATGGAATTTGACATTAAAAATTATTCCTTTTTGGATGGTTGGAAGTGAAATGGATGTAAATTGCGAAATGATTGATAATATATATTGTTTTGTTTATATATATGGTATAGGTTGCACAGAATACGTACAGGTTATGGACAAATTAAAAAAAAATAATAATAATATCATGTTTTTGGCTACTATATAATTGGTAGTCAAAAAGGAAGTAAATATTTTTAACAACTAAATCATTAATAGCTAAAAAAAAAAAAATCAAAAAAAAAAAAAACTTTTGGCTACTAAAATTTTAGTAGCCAAATAAAAAATAAAAAATAAAAAGACTTTAGGCGACTAAGTTTTTAGTAACTAAAAAGAATTACACTTTAGGTGACTAAAACATTTAGTAGCTAAAAAAAATAAGATGAAAAAAAAACTTTTTGGCTACTAAATAAATTAGTCGTTCTAAATAATGTTCGTTTTGGCAACTAAATGTTTTAGTCACTAAAAATGCGATAGTAATTTTTTTGAAAGCTTTTGGCAACTAATAATTAGTCGCCAATTTAGCCTATCAAGGACTGAAGTTTTTTTTGTCACCAATACCTTTACTTTTGGTGACTAATTGTTTAGTCGCCAATTTAGGACTTTCGGTGACTAAATTTTTTTTAGTCGCCAATACTTTCCTCGACAATCTTCCCGCGACCAAGCTGGCGACCAAACTATTTAGTCGGGGAAACTTTCGGTGACTAAAATTTGACTTTTGGTGACTAAAAATTTAGTCGCTAAAAGTGTAATTTCTTGTGGTGAATCCAACATAAAGAGATTTACCATTGTGGTTCGATCTTACGTCACGGCTGTGGCCATATGATGTGGTGGTCTTATTAATGTCTTTAATCTAGTGTATAGGAAAGGAAGGGATAAGTTATGGTGGGATAAAGATAAAGAACGATAGGCAATGGTAGAAGAAAATGAAGGGAGAAGATCGGTGTCTGCTAGGGGTGGGGGTACTAGAATCACAGGGTTGTTAGATTTGATTGAGATGGATGGCAGGAGAGGATTGCTATAACAACCCTCATCTTGTCTTAGTCATATTCATGAGCATTCATATGATTTTGCCTTGTTAAGTTTTTACATGCAAACTTAGATTTGTTTTGCCCAAGTAAAAGTTCTTGTCTTGTCTTGATGCTATCATGTTTTGCCTAAGTGTTATATACATGCTTTGTTCCTTGCTTGGTGTGTTAAGCCTAGGTTATCTGTCCTTGCTGTCCCAAGCCTAGGTCACACATTTGAACCTCTTACACCTAGGTCGTTGAGCGTCAACACCTAGGACCATCTTGGAACCACCTTGGTTGACCTCCACCGTCACCTAGGCATATTGGCCGAGATGTGCATCACCTAGGCCGAGATGTGTATTATCTAGGCATTCGAGACCCATGATCCTTGAACCTAGCAACCTTTTATTCCAGGACTGGTACGACCTAGGCCGAGGTGTGGCACACCTAGGTCAAGTGTCCTATGTCTTGATCCGGGATCATTTCCTTGTCAGAGTACCCATGCCACCTTGCTTGTTATACACACTTTGTCATACTCTTGTCTTTTCATTCTGGCACCTTTTTGAGGAGATCCAATCAGATGATGCCACGTGTCCCAGTAGTGGTTTAAGCCAGCTAGTAGTGAGAAACCCATATCATTTACTATGTCTTTGCCTTAGAAGAGAGAGAAGCTCTAGGAAGAAGAATGAGTTCTTAGTGAGATAACTAGATTTCCAAGCTTGATCCTTAGAATTTGAACCGTTTGATCCGTGTTTTGAGGTTCGATTCCTAATCTACTCTTGTTGTTCTTTATGTTGATCTGATCACATTGCATAATCTAGCATGATTCATGAGTCATGCATTGATTTTAAGTTTTGTTTTAGAAAGTGAAAATGAGGTTCTTGTGTTCTTCAAGAAAAGCCTTGTTTTGATTCGGAAATTTGTACCAAGTTCTATGTTTTTGTGTTTGTCTTCATGAAATCTTCAACTATGGGTACCCAGGTCCATGTTTCTGAACTCATATCATGAAATCTCAGATTTTGAATAAGAAGTTATGATTTTAGCATTCATGTTCTTCATGTTCATGTTCTTCAAGAGCTTCAAGAGGAAACCCAGATTTCCAGACTTCATTTGCCTAAGTGTGGTCACTGAGATCTAGGAAGAAGAATGAGTTCTTAGTGAGATAACTAGATTTCCAAGCTTGATCCTTAGAATTTGAACCGTTTGATCCGTGTTTTGAGGTTCGATTCCTAATCTACTCTTGTTGTTCTTTATGTTGATCTGATCACATTGCATAATCTAGCATGATTCATGAGTCATGCATTGATTTTAAGTTTTGTTTTAGAAAGTGAAAATGAGGTTCTTGTGTTCTTCAAGAAAAGCCTTGTTTTGATTCGGAAATTTGTACCAAGTTCTATGTTTTTGTGTTTGTCTTCATGAAATCTTCAACTATGGGTACCCAGGTCCATGTTTCTGAACTCATATCATGAAATCTCAGATTTTGAATAAGAAGTTATGTTTTTAGCATTCATGTTCTTCATGTTCATGTTCTTCAAGAGGAAACCCAGATTTTCAAATTTCACTTCTCTAGGTGTGGTCATTGAGACCCACTCTTGCCTAGATCCCACACCTAGGCCAAGCATCATATCTCACCTTGGCCTACCTTGTATGATCACTTGCACCTTAGCCTTTCTTGCATGCACACCTAGGCCGACCATGGTACACCCTTGCCGGCACCTTGTAACATCTCGGCAGGTAGCCGCACACCTAGGCCTAGGAGACCACACCTCGGACAAGACGTGTGGGACCTCGGCCAAGACTTCCTAAGTTCACCCAGCTAGGCCATTTTGGCCTAGATCATCTCTGTACATCCATTCCGAGAACTGGTTGTACCCAGTATGCTTTTCCAAGAAGAAAAACATTGTTTTGACTCCCAGCACATGTTTTGCTTTGTCTTGACTTGGTTTTGGAAAGAAGTTTTGGGATCATTTTCATTCATGTAGAGCTTGTTTTGAGAGTGCATTGCACAATTATCTTTGAGTATTCCTTCTTGTCTTCTTGAAATGCATTCAGTAGACATTGCTATATGATTGTAGGTCTTGGATCCTTGCCTTAAACCCTACATCCGAAGAGCTATTGTGAGTGGTATTTTTAATAAAGGTACGTTATAACCTTTTGATAAAGTTTTGCTTTGTTTCGTTTTGGGAAAGTATTTGATCAAGTATGAATGATTATCCATTAGCTTTTGTATCAAATATTATGTTTGTTTTGATGACATTCTTGGAAGGTACTTTCGTACCAGGGGACGTTAAGCCTATGTAGCACCTATGTTGGAGATATCTCTTTGCATTTGCTGGTCATGTACAAATGGTACCACCGACAGTCTTGTACGGGTGGGTTACGTTTTGCCACCGACGGTTTTCCAGGTGGGTTGTCTAACCGATTCCGGGTCGGCCACTGACGGTCATGAACGGGTGTGCTTCGATTCTGGGACGGTTATTCCTTTGTTTTGTCAAGAATGTCATCCTTTGTATTATGTAGATGTTATTAAACATCCCAAGATGCTTTGAAAGACTTTGATTGATGAACTTGATTCATCCCATGTTTTGTTACAAGCTATGATATGTATTGTTTTGATAAAGATCTCGGATATCATTCATTCAAACCTTTATTATTTATAACATTCACTGAGTATCCAAGCTCACCCTCTCCTTTATATATATGTAAGTGACGAGCAAGAAGGCAATGTTGCCTAAGCTTTGTTTGGAAGATGTTTTGGATTCATGTTTTGCTAGCATCTTGAAGATTATACTTCTTGGTTTTATAGTTCATTTCTTTTGTATGTTTGGCTTGAAAAGCCTTTTGATCAAGATGTAATATGTACTTTATGTTATTTTGTATTCAAGTTGTAAAATCATATTAAGATATATGTCATTTCATTAGATCTTTGCACAGCTCTTATGGACTACTTTGATTTAAATTTATTGCTTCTGCTCATGTAAGTCCAATATGTATACTCTGATTGTGTGAAATTTTGTAAGTTGGCATTTGATAATTTCGGATTACTGGCCATCATGACACCATTTTACTAGGGACGAAATGGGGTCGTGACAGTTACCAAAGGTGGATTTAAGTGATGTTGATGGTGATGGGAGGCTGTCAACAGTGGATCTAGTTTATGCATTAAATTATTATTTATATTTTTGTAAAATGGTGTGTTGGATGACAAAATAACATTTTTCTCTGTTAGTTTCACTTAACATAAATAGATGGTGGTTGAGATTAAAATTGAAAATCAAGATCTAAATTGACAATTAAAATTTTAGAATTTAATTTGTTACTAGGGTCAATTCTCAATTTTTTTAAATATATTTTTGTTTAAAAAAATTCTTTTAATTTAAGAGGGAAAAATAAAAAAATATTTTCAAAATTTTAAATTAAAAAATAATTTTTAAAAAGTTGAGGATAAGGCCGTGCCCTCCTAGTTCTTTGTTAGGCCACCGACACCAACTGATCCCAAAGTGTATTAAAAAGAAGGCCTACCACTTTAGGTTCTGTTTGGATTATTATTATTATTATTATTATTATTATTATTATTATTATTATTTTACCTAAAATTAAGATTCAAATAAAAAACAGTTTATATGTTTTGATTCTCTCCGTTTTGCAGATTTTATTTCATTCGTAAGATTACAGCATATCATAAAAAATTAAAATCAATAGGTTATTAGTATCACGATATTATAAATTGTAAAAAATAAAAAATTGATTGTGTTTTAAATTTAAAATATTTTTTTGTTAAAATAGATCTTTTAGCATATCATAAAAAATTAAAATCAATAGGTTATTAGTATCACGATATTATAAATTGTAAAAAATAAAAAATTGATTGTGTTTTAAATTTAAAATATTTTTTTGTTAAAATAGATCTTTTATAACCGTCATACATGAAAAAAAATCTCCATTTCATTATAAATAAACAAAATCTGAAAGGAGCAAATCTATCAACAATATTACAAACTCAGAATAAATATTTATGCCCACCAATTTAAATTTAGGAGGATTCCCTCCCCATCCATATTCTGGATTGGAGGGCACTATTTAGGTCTATGGGGCTCACTATATGTCTCATTTTGATGATTTAAATCGTTCATTTTTTTTTTCAAGTACTTCGTGTATTTCATACACAAAAATATTAATTCGATATGATAATTGTAACATATTTAACTTATCGTGTTTGTCACAAAAAAAAAAAAAATAGACAATTATGTTTTTAAAAATAAATTATCCATTTTTTTAGTGAGAAAACAAGATAAATTGAGTAAGGTATAATTATCATATTGATCTAATTTTTTGTGTGAATTAAATATATGAGATACCCGATAAAATAAACTGTTCAAATTATAAAAAGAGAATCCGTGGTAGATCCCACTGTCCAAACAATGCAATCTAATCCACAAAGTAATTGCATCCTTAAAATACAACTCATTTCAAAATAAATTTTGATTAGAAGAATCAATCTTTGTCTTTGTGCATGCATGCATCCAACAAAAGCTCACAAGTCACAAGGACTTGGGAACTCAAAAAGTCATTGTTTCAATACTTTACGAAGCCAAGTGAGGTGTGCTGAATGTCCTCCCAATATTGACTGAAAATGACTTCATACACAGAGAATTCCAAGATACGAAAATTGTAATGTGGGTTGGTATGAATTTTAATGACAATTATTGGTTTTAATTTAATATATAATTGGCTGTATATTTTATCTTTATAGGGCATGATTAGGCTTCAACCAACGCTACTGAACCACCATGCACTACAAAAAAAAAAAAAGGTTAAAGTTTTAGAAATTAAAATTTAGGGATAAAATTATTTTTTAAGGATAGTGTCGTTATTATATTTTTAGCAACGAAAATTAAACCTTAGTAATAAATTATTATCTTTTGGGGACCAAATTTTTTTGTCTAAAAAAAAAAAGACCATTTTAAGACCAAATTATTTTGTTCTTAAAAGTCTATTTATTAGTGACATTTTCAAAATTTTGTCGCTAAAAATTTTATTTTTAACTTTCGAGACAATCTTTTAACGACTATCCTCATGACGATAAAAATTGAACCCTAAATGTCTTTTGTAATAAAATTTTCACTTTTAGAGACCAAAATCAGTGAATATTATCCCCATCATTCTCAAATTTGAAACCTAACTTTAAAAAGTTATGTAGATGAGAGAATTTTTATGTACAATTTTTTTAATTGAATGCATAAAGTGATATTAAGGCTTAGTTTGGGGTACACTAAATAATACAAAAAGTCAAAAAATCACTATTCTATTTAAATCACATCATCTTATTTAAATTATATCACCTCTCTAACACATCACATCACATCAAACTCAACCCAAACCCAACCCATATAAGCTAATAAGTCAAAAAGTACACTTTTTTAGAACATCCTAAACCAACCCTAAATGATAGTTAAGAGATGTGCTCATGTAATGAATAATCCCTTTAGGACTGACAATAAAAATTTACATTGGGTATTTGACATAATCATGACAATAAAAATTTACATTGGGTATTTGACATAATCATGAAGAGTGATATGAATATATGTAATTTCAAATGATGGGTATTGATTAAGTTTGAATGATACCATTAAGAGTTGAACTCAAGACGTCATTAATTTCAAAGTTTGACTTTTTTACTATTTGGCCGTTAAATTTTTACATTCATTTCAACCCTAATCCATTAACTTAATGCAAAATTCATGTCGAGTAAAATATTCCCACGCCTCACATATTTGCTATTTAGATTATAAATTTAAAATTACAAATGATGAACACTCAATACTAATCTCTCTCTTTCTTCAAAAAATATTATAATAAGTTGATATATCAAGTGTAGTGTATCATGTATAGACATAGAGAGTGAAGGGTAGAAAGATATAATATATAATATCTAATTTTAAAATAACAATAAATATAAAAATCTAAAGAGGGCAGTTTGGAGATAGTCAATAGTAAATACTAATTTAATAAGAAGATTTTTTTTTTTTTTTTCCCCGTCCATGCTTACCACCAGCTGAGTTGATCCTTGGTTTCAATTCTAAGATGGTCATTACATTTTCTTCCTTAGGCTAGGATTATCAATGATGCTCTTACTGTGATTAAAAAAAATAAAATAAATAAATAGTAAAAATTAAAAAAGAAGAAGTTCAACACATTTAAATGGATGAAAAAAATAAAGTTCATATAAAAATTCAGAATATTAGGTAAGATGCCAAAACAAAATACTAGTTATTTAGGTAAAGTTTGATAACGTTTACGTTTTTTTATTTACGTTTACAAAATTTTTATAAACTAATTTCTGTTTATTATTAGAAAAACATAAACTATAAACGCGTTTGGTTTGAAAAAAATGTTTGAAAAATTTTAAAAATATAAACTAAAAAATTTGTTTGCTCAGCCCTAAAATATTTATATTTATTTTTTATTATTTATGACATAAGATCATACACATTATAATTAAAAAAAATAATAAAAAAAATAAATTGAAAAAAAACTAATTGAAAAAAAATTAATTAAAAAAAAAATTTGTTAGTCAAAATTTTAAATTTCTATTTAAAAATCAACGTAAACTCGTTTTTTCCTCAAATTTATAAACTGAGACAACTATTTATAAACCAAAAAAAAAAAATCAAACAAGTTTTTATGATAATTTTTAAATTTTTATAAATATAAATTAAAAATTGAAAACGAAATGGTTACTAAACATGTAAATATTTGTATTTACTAATTGAATAATCCATCAAAATTTTAAACAATTGACTAAAATTCGAACAAAAGATAATAAAAATTAAAAAACCGATTCTTCGCGAGGACGAGTTTGGTGAGCAAACTCAGCGATCCGAGACTCGGACTCGACGTGCCTTCTACGAGATTGTCCGAAACATCGACGAACTGGAGCGAAACAAGCTGATTCAAATCCTCCGGCAGGTTTCCGGCGATTGAGTTGTAGTGCAAATCGAGAAAAGTCAGATTCCGGCAACCGGAGATCTCCACCAGTATGACTCCGGACAGCCGATTTGATCCGAGGTCCAGAAAACTCAGATTAGTCAAATTCGCAATCTGCAGTGGAATCGAACACTCAGATTCGCAATCTGCGGTGGAATCGAGCCAGTGAGTTTGTTTTCATTGGCTCTGAACCGTATAGCGACGAGCATTTTCCGATCTCCGGCGAAATTTCGTCGGAAAAATTATTGGAGTGTGTTTTTTGGATTAACTTTTTTGGAAATTGAATTTTTTTTTTATTTTAGTTTTTTTTTTTGTTTTTAGTGAATATTTTTAAAATTTTAAATTTTTTTTAGATACACCTTACTTAGATGCTATGAAGCATGGATACTTCGAAAAACATGCCGTACCCGTATCGGGTACTTACCGGCATATGATATCTCATATAAGACTTCTGTATACGTAACGGGTACATAAAAAGCGTACCCAAATTTTTTTTCTAAATTTTTGGCGTACCCAGACGTACCGAGTATATAGTCAAGCCGTACCGTACCTCAGTTAAAATAATATTTTTTTTCTACTACAGAGATAAAACTCATTTTCCTAATTTTTTTTTTAAATTTTTTAGTTTTATACTTAGCATGATTTAAAATTAAACTATAGTTTGTAAACTATTTAATATATTGACATTTAATTTTAATTTATACCGTTATTTTTTGCATTAAATGTTAATTATAGGTTGGATCTTAACAAATCAAATTATTTAATTAATATTTACATTACTCTAAATTAAAAATAAATATTTTTTTACAAGCGCACCATGCCGTACATGTACCCTACTTTTTTTGAATTTTAGCGTATCGACGTACTCGTATCGTACCAGTACCAGTACCAGTACTCGTACCAGTATCCGTACCCGTGCTTCATAGCTTAGATGTATCTAAAA